ACATTTAATGCATTCATATAAAAGCTTTAGATCTTTAAAAGTTGGAAATTTGCATTACGCAAATAGACTAATAGACTAAACCTTTTTAGGGTCGAACATAAATATTTAAGCAACTGTTAACTGTAAAATCCAAAACAAGACATTCATTCTGAAATAAATTACTCTCGGACCTCGTTATAACGTGGATTTTATTTTAACTCTAAAAACTGAAACTTGAAAACCATGTGTAACCATTTTAATAACAAATTTTTATTTTGTTTTCCTTGGTATTTTTAAGTAACTGTCGGGAATTATTGTAACGATGAAATCGAAATATGAACTTTAAAAAATATAGTACATTCCCATCAACTCTATTAATAAATTATGTCCTCCGTGCAGGACAAAATTATAGTACCCATTTGTATAATACGTAAAGCAGGTGCACTCTCTATTCCCTTAATTTCTTAGTCCGAGGGACGGTAATCCGACACAACGTGAGAGAGACCAGGCGGAAGACCAACGGCGTTATGTGTTTTCCAAAGCACGGGGCCGAACACCGTTAACACTGCCAACCTCTGACTCCAGGCTGACCCATAAACTGAGTTTTGGCCGACCCGGGATTCGAACCCAGGACGAAACGATCAGCAGTAGCGTTGACAACCACTAGACAAGGAGGCAGTCATTCCTACTAATTCCTACTACTTAATTGAGAATATAAAAAAGAAAACTAACATTCTGAAATTCATATTTACTACGTAGACTTCTTTGCTGCCTCGGAATACGTGTGGGCAGGTACTCCCCACTTACAAATACACAAGTGATAGAACTGCTATGTGGTGGCATAAATAGCAGTTTTTTTTAATTTTAATAGAATAATTGTGACAAACGAGCAAACAGTCCACATGATGGTAAGTGGTTGCTGTGGCCCATAGCCATCTACATCTATCCTCGATTAAGAATCAAAATGCAGATGCGTTGCCCCCCCCCCCCCCTAGATATAGTAGGACTAAGATGGAATGCCTCGTTTCCCCTAAAATGTGGTCTTCGGTTCTCTACACTCACAATACGAAACACATCAGTATTAAGCGGCTATTTTACGCTGGTATTCTGTGAGAGCGTGGTTCTTCCCTGAGCGAGCCGACCCATTCGAGGTGCAACTATAATATAGCTGCAGCGTGGCTCTATCATGTACGGAATTCCAACCATTCTGTTTTCCAGACCGAAGAGTATAGAGACCCAGTATAATTACAGGCTGTGAGGCATTCAATCTTTGTATGAAAAAATGTATATTGCCTTAATTCAAAATTAAACAATTATGGATTTTCAATTAAATGCCATGCTTACAAAATGGTTGTTCGGACATAGCGTCACGTTTATACAATTTATCACATAAATTAACATAAAATGTTGCACGATGGATTTTGGTTACCTTGATGTATAATATTTTATGGAAAGAAACAACGTTTTTTTTTTAAATATTTCTGTACAAGGGTGACAAATGCGTTTACTGTTCGGTCATATTTGTTGTCACGTTATCAATTAGACCGCCTCGATGATTTTGTAATCGTAAACGCGACTGCTGATGATAAGGTCCTAGGTTCGTAGCCGGGCATCGGTCGGGGCAAAATCAATTGTTAGGTTTTCTGTCAAGCAATTCTCAATAACAGCCCGCAGTCGGGAAGTTGGTGTTTTTTTATAGAATAAGGGTGACAAACGAGCACACAGTTCACCCGATGGTAAGTGCAGCATGGCTCTACCACGTAAATAAATATAAGGATATTATATTATGGTTATAAATGAAGATTAAACCGTGTAGTCGCGGTGTAAGAATATCCACTATTCCATATCGTCCCGTGGTTGTCGTAAGCGACGACAGACGGAAATTGAAGCAGGTGATGTAAAGTAGCGTCTTCCTGATAACGACTCAAAAAAAATAAGATTGAAAACCAAAAATTGAGATGTGTCAGTTTTTTGTGTTGAAGAAATAAAAATTATTATCTTTTTTATAAAATAAAGGTCACAAGAGCACACAGTCCACCTAATGATAAGTGGATGCTGTGGCCCATAGACATCTACATTTATCCTCGATTAAGATAAAACGCAGATGCGTTATCACCCCTGAGGACTAAGATGGAATGGATTTTCAGTAAAAAAGGGTCTCCGGATTTCTAAACTCACCATACGAAACACAGCAGCATAAAGCTGCTATTTTATGTTGGTATTCTGTGAGAGCGTGGTCCTTCTCTGGTCGAGCCGACCCATTCGCGCTACAACCATAATATAGCTGCAGCATGGCTCTACTACTTATGAATTTATATCTACACACACACACACACACACACACGTATATATATATATATACATACATATATATATATATATGTATATATATATATATATATATATATATATATATATATATATATATTTGAATTGTCCGTCTATAATAGTGAAATAACAACCTCTTATTAAGCTCTGGGCTGGGGGCAGGGGGGGGGGGGTTATTTGTATGCTATATATATGAAAGCTATTTGTATAAAATGTCTGTCTGTATGTCTGTTCGGACTAATCTTTACATTTATGGGTGAACCGTTTGTAATGAAACTTCAAGTACAGATGGAGAGCAACGCCAATAGTGGTGTAGGTTATATGTTTTATACGAAAGCTTAAAGATTCATTCATTTAATTATCATATCTTTATTAATTAACCCTTTTATTTTAATATCATTCATATATTAATTAACCTTTTTTCTATAATCTATGCGTAAATTTTTTTTTCACTCCTAATGGCTAAGATGTATTATTTATTTGTATTAGCCATACTGCAGTTATGGCTCCCGCGCAAATATATGTAGGAAAAAATTTCTAAGAAAATAAATTCTAAATTCATAATCATTGAGCTATTATGTACTACGTACTAGAGGCGACACTGCATTCAGCTACTCTGTTCCATTCAACTGCGGTGCATACACCGCACTTTAATCAGTCACTCACGTAGAGTTGTCACGTGTTGTGTTGATTTAAAAAGAAATCTCTTGATGAAAATATGCCATCGTGTGTATCTAGATATTGCACAAATAATTCAAGAAATGTTAGTAAAAACCAAGGAATTACTTTTCATCGGTTGATAAGATACTTAATCAATAAAAAAGTATTATAGTTTAATAATAAGACAAATTATTCCTAAGACGCCATTTCGTGTCATGGAATACAGATTATGAAATTAATTTGTTCAGATGCGACATTTCTGTGGGTACTTAAGTATAGGACGAATATATTATAATACACATTTTTTTTGTAGAAACATATATTAAGTTATCGTAATAAGGCTAATTTTTTATATTTAAATCTGCTCATTGTTTTTTTTTATTTTATTTTTAGGTTTCCACGTCAAAGTCAAAGTGGAATAAATTCGTGCATTTTTAACTCTCGCGTGCCCAGCATTTATAAATGACTCTTATTCTAAATTCTAATTTCTGAGCTGTGGTAGCTCAGATGGTTAGCGCTCGCTGTAAATTTCACAATACGCGAGCAAACCGGGTTCGATCCCCGCCGGCACCAATGAAATTGTTAATTGCAATTTTAAGTGCTGATTTACCACGTGCTCGTCGGTGAAGGAAAACATCGTGAGGAATCCTGCATGTCTGAGAAATAAGAAAAAAATTTTTTTGAAGATAAGTGAAGTTCGCCAACACGCACTGGGGCAGCGCGACGGACTATTCCTTGGCTTAAAACCCTTTCAGAAATGAGAGGAGGTCTGTGCCCAGCAGTGGGACGTATGTAGGCTGTAACTTTACTTTACTTTACTTATTCTAATTTAAATAAATATATTTGTAAATTAAAATGTCATATTAATAAGTTTTGTTAAACATACCTTTAGTATGTTTTTTTATATGTGACATAGATACCTTTTAAAATATTGAGATAAAAATATCATTAAAATGTAATTGTTATATAATATTATGTAATATTATATTAAATATGCAACTATAATATACAAAATAAATGACAAAATTTAAAAATTGTTCTCCATATAATTTACCTATTTAATAATACAATCTACTATATCCTAATGATCATTCTACCTATGTTTATTCTATGATAAAAAAACAAACCGCGCGAACATAGAGCAGCGCACATTTTTTGTTTGAAATAGCTGTTCTAGTACGTAAGTACATATTACTTCAATGTTCATAATATATAGTAGTATAGTACGTGATGCTAATATGGTCATCCGGTTAATATGACCACTTTCTTATTAACTCAAAAACTACAGCCTTGTTTGCATAGACAACTCTGTATAATACGTTAGCTCCTCATCAGTCAATCTATTGTTAATAATTAACAAATATATAATTATTATGGGTCAAATAATCAAATATTAAATGGTAAATAAAAATATTAAAGGGTTAAAACGGCGTTTCTTCATCGATGCCCTTTTGACAGTTGACATTATAGCAAAATATTTTAGTCGATTTTAGTATGATGTAGCTAAGTTTTTTAAAGTTGATTTTTCGAAGTGTTCTTAATTATTGCCAAGGCTTGTTTATTTTTTTCTTAATATATTAGCTATAGTATACGAATTTGTGTTTTTGTCTCTGTCCTCGCGTAAGGTCAAGGTAAACCATAGTACCCTCACGTACCTAAGTATATGTAATTGGAACTGTCTATAAATAATTTATAACTCAATTTGATTTAATCAACAATGCCAACAGTCTTGTGCCTCTTCGTTTGATTCCGATAGCTATCCAAGGAACTATAAAAATGTAAATCACCTCATTATTATAAACAAAACCGACCGTTTAACTTTATCCTCAAGATGCGCAATGTTTGGCATCCTCTCATTCTTTGTTAAGAGCCGTCGGTATTGACATGCGCCATACGAGAGGTGCGTTCGCTTATGATGATTTATACAAGCGTTTTAAAACTTGAATTAACGAGCGATTTGATTGAACAGTGACATACCGACAATGAGTTACTATCGCTCCGGCTCGCAAACGGATCATATTTTGACCAAATTAATGACAAATGTTATTAGTGCGAATACATCAAATTTTACGAATCATAGTGAAGTGACACAGACGCGTGCGTTTGATTTGTATGAAGCGTTCAAAACCAAGGAGAGCGAGCAACTGAGTGCGTACAGATCCGTCGCCTACGTGTTCGGAGCTATTATATTTCTAAGCAACTTAACTGTGGTGGTGTCTAGCGGTCTTATACTTAGAAAAGGTACTAAATTTATTACTATATATATATATATATAACACAAATACGTAGACACATATCAATGGAAATTTAAATTGCAAAAATGAAACATTTAAGTAACTTCAAAAATAGCAGCTTAGTACTGCTGTGTTTCGTATGGTGAGTGTAGAGATCCGAAAATCCTTTTTCACTGGAAACGTGGCACTTCATCTAAAGTCCTCATGAAAGACAACGCATCTGCATTTTGATTCGTTGTCGAGGATAGATGTAGATGTCGATGGGCCACAGCATCCACTTACCTTCAGATGCACTGTGTGCTCGTTTGTCACCCGTATACTATAAAAAAGAACGAAAAAGAATAGACTAATTTTTATATAATAGCTTCAGAAGTCGGTACTAAGACATAGTGTATAAAAGATTTTTTTATAGGATAAGGTGACAAACGAGCACACAGTCCACCTGATGGTAAGTGGTTGCTGCGACCCATAGACATCTACATCTATCCTCGATTACATATCAAAATGCAGATGCGTTGTCACGCCTGAGGACTAACATGGAATGCCTCGTTTTCAGTAAAAAGGGTCTCCGGTTCTCTGCACTCACCATACGAAACACAGCAGCATTAAGCTACTATTTTACACTGGTAATCTGTAAGAGCGTGGTCCTACACCGGTCGAGCCGACCCATTCGTGCTGCAACTCTAATATATTTAGCTGCAGCGTAGCTCTACCACGAAATAAATGCATAAAATGCGTACCGTATTCGTAATATTATATTCAAAATAAAGCTACGTGACGCAGATAGGCACTATAAAATATGAAAAAAACTAAGGAAGAGATTAACAATTCTAATATCTCGGTCGAGCCGACCCATTCTTGCTACAACTATACCTACTACTAATATAACTGCAGCATGGCTCTACCACGTATAAAATCCCCGACTTCAGAAGATAATACGTGGAAGTTATTCTCTCTTTAATTAACTGACCTTTTAAAGTGGACTGAATGTCTCATATGCCCAATTCAGGTAACAACTAGAATATCATCTACATATATTACAAACTTCATGCCCTATTACTTTCTATAAACTCTTTAATTACCGTTACGGCCTATTAAAGTCCACTGCTGTAAAGGCAGTCACAAATTATGCAATGGCAAACTATTTGCCAAAGAAGGTGTAGAATCGCGATGAGATTACGCTCAAACCAGGAGATTATACTATAATTGTTTAGGAGATAATCGTTCTGTCTTTAATTGATTTCTCTAGGGTTTCCTCACCACTTACCACCAGGTGGTATTATGGTCGAGCATGGCTTATAATAAATTAAGAAATCTGAAAAACGGTTAACCTTGCCGGCCAACCCTGGAACTTTCCCCTTATTTTCGAGCGCAACGCTTGTAAATCTATTTCGTTTTGGAATTTTTTTGAAAATCTTTGAAACGAGATTGACTTGAAAGTCTAATCAGCTCGAACTCTCAGTAAACACTTTCGAACACCGTGTCGCCAATCTCGACCGGTTAGTTCGTTCTAAAGATCGTATAACAAAATCTTATTTACGTACATACTTTGAGAATAGTCGAAACGGCTTCCTAGAACCTCAAAACGTGGAGATCTGAGGAAAACTCGCATTCTCAAAATCGGATCAAAATCTATAACGTCCTACTTTTGAAAATTATTAATTTTCAAAGCGGGAAGTTAAATAAAACTGCAGCGTGACTTGAACAAAATTTTGATTATGTCAATGTTTGTGAAACTTCGTGAAATTTACTCATAGTGTTCGGATGATGTCACCGTAGGTACAAATCATGTATGTAATGAGGACCTTAAGTTCATTGTACTTTGTATTATGTATGTACATAATAATGTAATTTATCACTTTCGTGCACTCTGTGTAGAGGCAATATCTTCAAGGATTTTCAACAATAAGTGTTATTTTTTCATTTAGCAAAACACACGCTAATGGTCGCCACATACGGTCAGTTCAACTGACTATTCCAACTGATCAGTTCAAACTAATACTGTTGATATCTTTTAAAATATTGGTTTTTCAATATATCGATAAATAAACTTACATATAAAAATAAAATTCCGTAATTGACATATTAATAATTATCAATATATCAAAAATTTCAACAGTTCACAACATCTATCCGTCTATCTGTTTAGATATCACCCTTACCTAGTTCTGTCTCCAAATAGCTATGCTTGTTGCGGTCTGAAGGGTTTAAATTAGCCAGAATAATGACAGACTATGAGGCATTCCATTTTAGATCTTAATCCTAAGATTTGACAACTCATCTGTAGCCTTTGTATAAAGTTAGGTACAGGTTTCCATGGACTAAAAGATTGATTGTAAGTTCGTTTATCGATTCAGATTTATAAAATAAAACACCTGCTTGATAACCGGCCTAGCTAGAACAGTGCAGTACAGCATATTAAAGTTAGCACTAGGTGACATGCTTATCTTCCGACCATTTAGAAACTAATTGCGCTGGTATTCTTGCAATGCAATATTTAAAATTTCAAACTTTCGTTTTTATTGGGTGCATGACATCATTAATTTAACTGGAAGTATTTTTACAGAGTTTTAACGTGTTCACAATACGATGTATAGCGTCGTTTATCTTTTATGCACTATGTGAATATTAGGCTAGAATCGTAGTGCCAAGCGTAAACAGTTAATTCTATAACCATTTATTATAAATTAGTAAAACCAAGCGCTGATTCTCCTAAATATATCAATTAGCACGCATCGCAAGCAAACTTTGTGGCTGTTTTGTATTATATTATTCTTTTGTTTATGTTTGTTTTTTCTTTTAAACGTGATAGAGCCACACTGCTATTATATTATAGTTGTAGCACGAATTGACAGAATACCGGCGTAAAATAGCACGTTAATGCTGCTGCGTTTTGTATGGTGAGTATAAAGAACCGGAGACCCAACGCATCTTTTTTTGATTCTTGATCGAGGCTCAATGTAGATGTCTATGAACCACAGCACCCACTTACCATCAGGTGGAGTGTGTGCTTGTTACCTTTATACTATTAAAAAATTGTGGCTCACAAAATACTAGTATAAAATAGCAGAATGTTCCTGTTTTGTAAAGTTAGTAACAATTACGAGTACATTCCGTGTCTCAAACACCTTTTGCAACAATTTTTTATGTATTATTTTTTATATGCATTTTGATTGTTAATCTATAATAGATCAAAAAATATAAATACGTTACTAAATATTATATTAGCTATGTAACGAAATGGTTGACTTTAGTAACTAAACGTAGTGATTATATTTTCTTTGTTAGTAACCACTTGCCATCAGGTGAACTGTGTGTCGTTTGTCACCCTTGTACTTCTATAAAACAATTTAAACAGGTGAATATGATGTAGACAGCATAATATGTACTCGTAATAACGACCGTGCAATAGCCGTTTCCAATTTAGCTACTAACTAATAACGGCGTGTATAATAGGACAATTTGGCTCGAAATATTCATACGTTTGCCGTAAACATAAAGATTTCCTGCCCCGTAGAACGTGTAAGACAGAATACGAATATATAAAGGTAATTTAACTTTATATACGTATATCATGTTTTTTGCAATCGCGATTTGTGGTAGAAAGCGGTATAAACACAATATATATTGGGTTTAAATGCAATAAAGTGTTATCAACCTATCTACGATGGTGTTATCTATATTAGGTTAGGTTATTTATAATGCTGAAGTGGTAAACGAATTCAGGGTCCAAGTGCTAAGTAACTTCTGCAGGTCATTGATAACCTCCACTAAACAAGAATGCTACAAATGCGTTGTCACCTGTGAGAAATGAGATGGAATGTCTCGTAGCCTATAAATGAATTAGCTCTTTACACCCTTCAGACTAGAACAAAGCAGTACAAGTACTGCTATTTTGAGGCACAAATAGGCATAGAAGGAGTTCTATCGCCTACTAAAAATATTTCGAGAACTTTTGTAAATAATATTTTTTAAATGATTATAAGACTAATTGCCTACTAATAATTCTAACTAAAAGGTTACATACAATATTAAAATAAAACTATAATAAAGAAAACCTAAAACTTAAAATTTTAATTGTCATATTCCTCGTGGTAGCGTGCCAATAACGCTGGCTGCGTTTCCTCGCTGAATGACAATACTCAGCCTTTGAGCGAGAAAAGAACAAGCCCTCTTATCACCAACAGCAATGACCAGTCGTGGATACAGTTCCTTTAGAAACTTCACCACACGTGGACCCAGCGAATGGCACAAATATGTAGTCATTTTTTCAAATACTCATATTTACGCCACTTATTCAATTCAGCTGCTTCTGATGACGCCTCGGCTTTAAACGGAGTTTGAGATGTGAGGCCGCCAAAGTGTCTATGCAAGATTATATTAATTTTCTTAATATCACAAAAATATATAACATAAAATATACATTTAAACAAAAAAAAATCGAAGTAAACACAAACCAAAAAAATATAAATACCTATAATTCCACTGCTGGGCCTGGCTTGCTCCCATCAGGGAGGGTTTTTGACTTCAGAAACTTATTTGTAGAAATTATTTTATTCTTTCAAGTTGGATTTGTTTTTTATTCACAGTTTATTATTTTTATATTTATGATAATTTATAATTTCTCTAACATGAAGGTTTTTCATGCAAATTATCAATAAGTTACAATAAACAATTTTTTGAGATATACATATTTATTATTAGTTTTTTTTTTCATATACATACAAAAGCTCTCACGATTGTTACTCAGAGGGGCAGGCAAAGACTAAAGCCTACTGACACACATCAGCATAACACACAGATATATATATATATATATATATACGTATAAAATTCTCGGTGGTTAACGGTACTCTCAATTTGGTCCATCTCAATATAACACTAATTTGATTGATAAACTTCCGCCTAGGACGTTTATCGACCTTCCCGATTCTACCTTTCATATATAAAGTATACAGCTTTGCCACTTTTTCCTCATTCATTCATTTTACGTGTCCCAACTACCGAATTATTCCCTTTTCTCTTGTAACATAATTTCTTATCATGTCATTCAGGATCACACCCGACGTATTTATTAACGACCGCATTTTACAGCATTAATTTTACTCTGATTTTTGCCTTACCTAACTTTACTACCAAACAATAAGATAAGGATTAACACAGCGTTGTGAAAAGCCATACACACCTTTTTTACACATTCGAGCTCTCCATAATATTGTTAAGTGCCCCATTCACTCTGAGGCTTGAATTCACTCTTCGAACTATATCGTTGTCATGTCCCTTATCCCTTTTTCAAATATAATATGAAACATAAACAGAATAAATTATATGAGATCCTGGAAATGTCAATTCGTTTATTCGTATGAAAAATGAGCAATTTGTTTGTACGGTACACACAAAAAGTCGCTAATGGAATCAGTAATCTAACCATACCCCACACGCTCAAAGCGATTACATAATGAGTAAGCGAATAATAAACAAACTAACAATATATTTTCAAATAATGAATCCCGTTAACCGTGCATTGACGGTGTTAATCATTTAGTCGTGGTATAAGAATATCCACTACCTTATAACTTCCTGTGGGTGTCGTCGCGACAGAAGGAAACCCAAACAGGGGATGGGCATCAGCATCTTCCTGATAGCAAACTCAAAATTATAAAGATCACGGTTGCCAGCGCGCCTGCCAGGCGTCGCAACTATGGCAAAATCCCTTTACAACTTATGGGGAGGTCTATGTTCGGTAGTGAGCTTTTATAGGTTGTAAGAGATCGATCGTTCCATTAGAGATGGATTTGTGGTAATTCGCGTTATATGTGTAGGTAACCACACGACGTGACGTGGTGGCTACGTAATAGAATCAATCAACCCATTTTGTCCCGTGACAGTGGCGGATTATCTTTATGGCAAGCTAGGCACGTGCCGAGGAGCGCAAGGCTAAAAAGGGACGCGCGCGGAAGTTTTTAAACGAAAAAAAATCAACGAAGATAAGGTTTTATGTGAAAACTTGGGTGTATTTAAAATACTTTTAAAAAATTACGTATAACATGAGCGCTTAAAGCAAGCACATTTGGATTTACCAAAAGTTTTTTTTTTTTTCTGCGTGGTCTAGGTGCTTCCCACTAGTGCCAGCGGGTCCGTTACTTACCGGACATCCTGCATATTCCCATCTCTCTATAATATGTTAAATCCAATGAAAGGTTGTTTAGTATGCAAATTGTGGACGTTTATTAAAATTTGGATCGCACTGACTTGGTCAGAGTTACAGAGTATTGAGTTTCTATAGTCACATGGGTCTAGTATTCGGGAAATAGCTGGAGCCATGCAGTGCATTAACAGACAGATTTTTTGGTTAAAGCCAGTCAATCTCCAATTTTGTCGCATAAGGCTCTTTGACATATTATTACAACTTAATTATTTACAAATACATATATATCTTAGAGGCGAGTAACCCGAGTTTAATTACCGGTACCACTATTGAAATTGTTAATGTAAATTTTAAATGCTACCAAGTACTCGGTATGGAAAGAGCATTTTTTTCGCTATACGTTACTCTAATCGTATTTTATGAACTCGTTTAACATACATAAATTTCACATGGACAAACAACCAGTCTCGGATCATATTTTTTGGTGTACTACTAGAACTTGTTCCGTACCGAGTAACTTGTACTGAGTTGGTTCGAATCGACGATCCCGCATCGAGCAACCATATGCTTAGATACTGCGTTTGCGAGCCGTCTTTAAGACTGTTTATTTCGGACGACTGTCATCTTTAGCTTTTTTCACTGCCTTGCCAAACCAGTTTAATATCTGCTAGATTATCAAATTGTATTTAGCTGTTCCCAATATACCTACATTTTATTAAAACATAAATAATTTTATATTCGTTTTGTAGGTCAACAACCAAAAAGCACATACCTCCTGCTCGGGAATGTCTCGCTCGCCGATACCATCGTCGGTATCTCCATCATATTTGGGGCCAGTGTAGAAAACACTACGAGCTCTAATCCGCTATGTATTTTTCAAATAGGTAAGTCTTCCAGTTTGTTTTATTATAAAGAATATTTTTACAATTATACAAAAACTAGTGATATTCACAGCACGCGAGCAACCCGGGTTCAATCTCCGCCGGCACCAATTGTGAATTTCAATTGTAAGCGCTGATTTACCACGAGCTCGGCGGTGAAGGTAAACATCGTGAGGAAACCTGAATGTCTGAGATATATGAACAAAAAAATAATTCAAAGATATGTGAAGTTCGCCAATACGCATTGGGGCTGCGCGGCGTACGTTTCCTTGCCTTAAAAACCCTCTCAGAAATGAGAGGAGGCCTGTGCCCGGCAGTGGGACGTATATATAGACTGTAACTTCACATAACTTTTACACAAACTAGTATTGACTTCAAATAGTGGTGGTGGTGGTGAAGACGTTAAAAAATTGTTGCAAGTTTTCAATTTACACAATTTTATAGTAACGCCAAAGTTGCAGGTAAAGGTAGGGTTGCCAACCATACTTTATAATAACGTAATTTACTTTATATTTTTGATAAATATATTTTATACTTTTGCATAAAAATAAAGTATGCGAAAATACTTTATTTCTAATATTTGTTGTGATGCGCAAAACAAAACACTCCCGCACGTAATTTTTAATACTTTATCGATACCCAATGAAAAACAGAACCGAATACAGACGATTAAAGTGATTATTTGTTACTAATCAAAACGATAGATTACTCTTTTTCGATATTATCTTTATCGGTTTTCGTTGTACCTAGTTTTAGTTTGTATAAACCACCATTATCTAGGTCGTTGCGATTGAATATTCGTTCGAATAACGAAAGAGTTTTTTCGGTGATGAAAGTGAAGTGGCGAGAAGAGAGAAATAGATAGTATAAAATTAATAAAAAATGAATTATTTGTCTATTTAAATATAATCTTAAATTGTAAAACTAGTTTTGAAACTTTTAAAAATAACCAAAATTGTTAACATGTGCTAAAATGACAAAAAAAAATTAAACCAATAAATATTTGCATTAGAAAAACCTTTTTTTTCTTGCATATATTTTATTTTTCTTATTCAAAGGATTTAACTACGTCTTTTTCCTCAAAAAAAGTTGCCAACCCTAGGTAAAGGCTACCTGCAACTTCGTTCTGGTAGAACACTCGCAGATCTCTAATAATGGTCTATGGACAAGAAGTTAACTATCAAAAAACCATTATAATTTCAGAATTTTACTATTATCTCGATAACTACGAGTATGCGTTCATTGGAAAAATGGTTAAAAAAAATTTGGTTATTTTTTTTTAAAACGTAACCCTTACACTAGGATTTTCTCCTGTATCGCGGGGGCAGTTTACAAACATAAATTGCACAAGGACAAACATCCAAACCCGGAACAATTATTTGTAGGCCATACAAATACTTGTTCCGTGCGGGATTCGAACCCGCTACCCCCAGCGCAGCCACTCATTGCTAAGCCACTGCGCCACGGAGTCGTCAAATAAAATAAATGTCTTTAATTTTATTTAAAAAAGGTCTTATCCTTTCACCATAGTTTAGTTGTAAAACGCCGTTGGAGTAAAAATAATGTTGAAAATCGATATAAAATAAAAAAAAATTGTGTAAAATTGCAATCAAAAAAGTTTTGAAAGTCGTTTTTCGATTTTATGTCCTCATAATTGTATTAACGTTCCTGCTGTAGCCATCATTAATATTATCATAATTAACATTAATTTTCATGTGAGAATACCATTAGTATGACAAAATATGTTATACATTTACAATATTAGTAAGGTGATAAAAATCGTTTTTATTGATTGTCAACTATTATTATCGTTATGTTCCAATAAATAAATACTGAAACAAATCCGTAGGCATGCTGGTTTGCCCAGCGATGGTATCAATCTTCAGCGTGGGAATGATCGCCGTGGATCGTTATATCTACATATTACACGGACTCTATTATCAAAGATGGTTCAACACCACCAAAGTAAGGATAGGCATACTTTGCATATGGATGATCGGTAAGTGACACTTTACACCCACTAACTTAAATGTTAAATGCTTAACACGCTTTTTGTTACTTGTGTGTAACCCATGTGCACCTTATAATTGTATTGCAGGAGTGACTCTTGGATTTATGCCCGCTACTGGATGGATGAACAAGGAGATGATGATTGATTCTAAATGCGCCTACGTTTCTTTATTCCCTGGAATGCTCATTCTACTGAATTCTCTCTTAAGTATAGTACCCATTATACTCGTTGCCGTGTTGTATTCCATAATCCTCGTGCAGGCTTTGAAAAACGTAAACCAAATTAATACAACTAGGAAAACCGTAAAAACAAAATCTTCTAACGATAATCCGGAAATAAGGATATACCGCGGTACCAAAACTGCAGCTCATTCAGTAAAATGCGTACCAAAAGAAAATAAAACCAAAATCAAAAGAAGCGCTTCGTTTAACACAATTGATGTTTTTAATAAATCTTCTAAATTAAAAGCGCCAAAAAATATATCGAAAAGTATATATAACTTAAGTTCTAGCAAGGAAGACAAGGAAAAAAATAACATTGATATCGGCTACGCGGACTCTACAAATGGACACTTGTTGAATATAAGTACTTGCACAATTAGTACTTCCACTATTCTAAACGAATCCATATCTGACATTCAATCGCCATACAAATTCGCCAAAGCTATAACGAATTACAAATTGCGTTATAGAGAAAAAGTGAAGGAGCCGAACAAATGGAGAGCCGTTATTATAGTAATGCTGACAACGGGTAGCTTTGTCTTTACGTGGATTCCATTTTTTGTAACAGTTATATTTTATGTATTCTGCGAAGAGAAATTGGTAAATCCAAAATGCGTGGACTTAAGAATAATGCTGGGAGGTCCAATAGCTGCTTTAGCATTTTGTAACAGTATACTTAATCCTTTAATATATGCCTGGTGGCACAAAGGGTTCCAACGAACTATAAAAATTTACTTTCATAAGTATCTTAAAAGTATTTTTAAAAAATCTTAAAACTTATGCAATTTGTATTAATAAAATTCTTATGATATTTAATATAAGATATTGGTAAATTGATTAAAACTACTTTTCCGGATTTTGTAGCATTTAATTTTAATTATTTTTATTTTTAATTCCCGACGTTTCGGGTGCTTTCCAGCACCCATGGTCACGGGGGACCATAGATTACTGTATATATACGGGGGACTGAGGTGACTGACGTCCCGATGTCATTATTATTATTTATGGTCCGATCTATGCAAAATACGGACCATAAACAATAATTAAAAAACCTGAAAGTACTCCGGGTTTAACAATGACATCGGGACGTCAGTCACCTCAGTCCCCCGTGACCGTAGACAGAGAAACCTATAGACAAATTGACGCCTTCCTTCGCATTCGCACACGAAAAAGATAGATTTATGCATACTTCTTGCATAGAAATGAGACAGAGCGGTGATTGGTTGTCCCTTTCGCCGTGCCGGTTTTTTTGTTTAGCAAACTACACTTTGCGAAACAACTTTGAGAGTTCGTAGCGATCTAAGGAGCTTACAAGTTGATTTAAGTGAGAAAAAAGTGTTTTGTGAGCTTAAGATTGGTGAATCTTGTTCAGTTTAGTTCTTAGAACAATTAAAAAAATTATCTAAATATGTTTAAAAGTCATAAAGATTATTGTATAACCTAAAACTACGTTATCGTCCTTTCTCACTTGAGGCCACGCTAATCATTAGTCTATAGGTTTCTCTGTCTACACCTGTGACCACGGGTGCTGGAAAGCACCCGAAACGTCGGGAATTAAAAATTAAAATAATTAAAATTAGACGTGATAAAATCCGTAAAAGTAGTTTTAATCAATGTGTAGTGTTCGCGTAAATATGAGAAATCATTATTGATAAATTCTTCACACATTTTTCAAAATTTCGTTTTATATTTGGTTAGAAAATGTTTAACGCACTTGAGTGCCTGACAAAGTTAAAGTTAAGATACTTTTCTAAAGGTTTTTCACTTTGTCAAATGAGTTGTTTTTGGGCTCACTAGAAATGGTAATGAATATTAATGTTAGTACACGAAAAAGAATTATTTTATTATAGTAAATGGCCTAAAGTTTTTATGGAATCTGAATGGAATCAAGAAATCTAAAAAACAGAGTTGTTTTGATATTCGTGTTCTGGTTAATGTAAATGCGTGTAATGAATCATTTTTTCACTTTGTATAAAAAGAAAAATATTTCTTGACAAAGATAACTTGTTTACTACATATACGTATTTGTATATTATATATTAATTACTATATATTTAAACGAGATACCATAAGAGCTTTGTTTAAATTCTATTTCTAAAAGTGTTAATATAATCTAACATAGTTCAAAGTGATCGTGGAACGAAACTTAATTTTTTCATTGACTTATAAATAGGCATGTCGATTCACTTTAAAAAAATCGATCTTCGATTATTATCCAATCGAAAATATTAGAATGGATTCCTGATTAAATCGAGCTTTAAAATATCTATCGATCGATTGAGGTTAATTGCGACATTTTTACATATAAGAAAAACAATACTTTAACAAAGTACGAACTGCATCGTACATTCCTCGATAAATCGGATTGAAATGAATGCTATAGTGTTTTTGTTTTTTAGTTACTATAAACATCAACATATAATATTTAGTTTGATTTAATTTGTTTTAAAGAATGTAAAGATTAACGTTTCTTTCTGATATATTAGCTATATTTTTATTTATTAGATTAAAATGAATAAACCAAACTGCGGATAAATAAGAGCTAAGATATCTAAAAAATTAAAGATCAACCACTGAGGCGTTGTGTATTCAGGTGTATACGCTAGAAAGAAAAAAAAAACTTTTATTCAAATCGCAACTATTCACTTATCATGACACTGTGTAACAAAAAAAAACTTCAGGCTCAGAAGGGCTAGAACCCAGAGCCGTAAAGCCAGTTAAAAAAATAAAAAAATAGATATAGTATAAATTCCAGTAAAACCAAGAAAAGTGGAGTTTATACTAAATCTATGCAAAAAACTCCACTTCAGTCCCAACTAGCGACATCTGGTGAGCAGTAAATTATTAGCCTTCTATAGTATAAATTGGAAAAAATATGTGCTTATTTATAATGTAATATTTTATATGAAATAGCTGATACGAAATTGTTAACCGACTTCAAGCGAACCTATTTTTATTATTCTTTTTTATTTGAAATCTGATGGTTTTTATGTGGTCCCATATAAATTTAATTAAGATCTGACCAGGGATTTTTGAGTTATCCTTAATAATGCGTATTTAATTGACTTCGACTACATTGATGATGTTCTCATTTTATTCATATTGAAATCGGTTGTATAAAATTTGTAGTTTTACCATTTGTTTATAATTCCGATAATTAAAAAAAATGCTTTAAGATCAAAATGAATGTTTGTGACATAATCTGAGATTAAATATTTTTACTTAATTTTAAACGTTTTACGAAATCTTTTACAAAAGGATGCACATTACCATAATTCATTCAAGTATTGTAAAAATAATATTCGTTTTATGTTGGCTTAATTTTATATATTTTATTCACGGAGGCTTTTAAATAGCTAACGCACAAGATCGACTAACAGCACTTTCATTATTTTGCAAGCTAGCACGTCACATTTGGAGTCACTAAGAATCACTAAGTGTTCGTGAAACATAATATTATGGTATGTATACAAAATTATAATTTGTTACTGTTACCGTTACAGCCTATCAAAAGGTCACTGCTGAACGTGGGCCTCCTATATCCATTGCCTTATAGGGGGATAATTTCCAGAGTTTGGCAACCGCATCTTTTCATTTTAGTTGTTATTATGGTCTACACACACGGTCAGTTCAACTGATCATTCCAACTGATCAGTTCAAACTAAAACTGTTCATATTCTTTTAAATATTAGATTTTCGATATATTAATAAATAAAATTATATATAAAACTCCGATATTGATATATTTATAATAATCGATATATCTAAAATTCTATATTTTAAAAAATATCAACAGCTTTAGTTTGAGCTGATCAGTTGGAAAGATCCGTTGAACTGACCGTGTGTAGCGTCTGTACGGAAGACGCTGCTGTCTATTTTCTTGTTTGTTTTCCTCTGTTGCCTCTTACAACACCCACGAGACAATATGGGGGGGGGGGGGGGGGTTAATGGATATTCTTACACTGCCATTTCACTATTTTATTATTACAATTATATACTCTTACTTTCTACTTAATATCTGGGCAGCGTTCGGGAAACTACGACACATCTTCCCGTCAGCTACACCTCAAAATCTAAAAACGAGACTGTACAACCAGTACGTGTTTCCAGTGAGGACTTATGGATCTGAGACGTGATCCTTCATTGTTGGCCGTTTGAGGACGCTCAAAGTCACTCAACGAGCTATGAAAAGGGTGCTCGGGGTTTCTCTGGGTGATAAACTTAGAAATGAGGATATACGCAGTAGAACCAGAGTGACCGAGATAGCCCAACGGGTTAGTAAGCTGAAGTGGCAAAACAAACATGCAGGAAGTCGACGGATACAGGTGGTTCAGGAGCGTGCTTTATGACATTCCTTGGCGGAGGTCTATGTTCAGCAGTGGACTTGTGAAGAACTGTAATGATGATGATTATTATGACTTTCTACTTATTACTTTGAGAATAATATATATATATAATGATTTCTTATATTTTAGAGAATATCACTCGTTATCTCAGTCAACCCGTAAATGTCTACCGCTGAACATAAGACTTTTCCGTTGTAGGGAGGGATTCCCATAATTGCCGCGTTTGGTAGGTGGATTGGAAATTGAAATTGCTGTTCTAAATCTTGAATATCTTTGACTCTGCTCCTCGTCACCAGAAAATACCCAGATATTACGTATAGTGTAAATTGGATAGTTGTTAGATCGTTTACTGAAAAATAAAACATATTTCTAGCATTTCCCACAGTCATCTCTTACACACCGAGACAAAACAGGGCGATAGATTCTCTTTCGCCGTCATCACACGACGACGACACGACACATGAAATTAAACCATTTTTACATATTTGAACTATTGAATTGCTCAAACAATTGACAACTGATTCAATCCCATTAGGAATCAAGGTTCTCTAGTGGCAGCTTTGTACTGGCAAGTGCAGTGTTGGGCGGCCTCCCACTAGATGGAGTAACACATGAGTTGACCGCTCAATATAGACCTCCCCCAAAGAATGCTATGAAGCACGGTCTTGAGCCACCTGCATCCATCGACTTCTGAGTGTAAGCTCAGATATCGCAAATTAATTAACTGTAAATGCGTAAATTAAACCTTGTGAAACTTTATTAAGACAATTTTTTTCAGGTTTATTTATTGCGAGTTTGCCAGCTATGGGGTGGACAGGGAGCACCTTCAGAGACTACAGATGTTGGTACATTGCAGTTTTTCCACCGCCCCTTCTCATTATTATCTCGCTTATGGTATTATCAGTGATCATAATAGTGTGCGTTTTGTACATTATTATTCTTCACAGCGCTGTTCAAACTGTGGACAGAATCAGAGAGTTTCAAGAATGTCATACAATATCATACAATAATGAAGCATTTGATTACAACGAGCACGTCAATTCACCTGTTCACGAGAGATCAACAACAACAATAACAATTAAGATTTCATCGCAAACAATTGTGAAACTACCGGAGAAACCCGTAGAAATACAGGAGCTAGACGAAACTAGTAGTGAAAAGAAGCACGTTAGTAAAAAAATAAGAAAAAACTTCTTCAAAATATCCCGTTACTTCTGCAAGTCAAGTACAGTCAACACTCTACCCCGGAAAATTAAAGCTGTAAAAACTGTACTACTAATATTACTATGTTTTGTTGGTACTTGGACACCTTACTATGTTGCAATAATATTATACGTAAAATGCGACATAGTTAAAAATGGTTATGACTGTATACCTTTAGAAGTTTTAACCTTAGGACCTCTCTACATACTAGGTGTTAGTAATAGTTTATGCGACCCCCTTATATACGCTTGGAGACATTCCGGCTTTAAACGAACTCTAAGAAAAATTTCCCGATCAATTGGAACATGAAATTTATAAAATATAAAAATTAGTTTTAATATTTAACAAAAAGTAATTAACTCACTTTATTATGTTATACAAACGAACAGCATAATAAACGAGTACGAGTATGTGCTTTGTACCCTCATGATATAATAGTATTATCAATTTTCTATTAACTCAAAAATATGAAACAAAATAAAATGGATGTATTTATAAATATTCTTAGAAAATGTATAAACTTGATCGTTTTATAGGTAATTTTAGAATGAAAACTATATCACTGTTTTAAAGGTTTGCATTCCTATTATCAATGTACTTATAACTAACTATACGTTAAGTTATAAGTACATTTTCTTCGCTAAGGGCAAAGTGTTTATCACTATTTTTTAAATAAAAACTCTATCACTTCTGAAACATTTAATATTATATTGTATCATTACTTACTGATCTTGTGTCATCTGGGGCTCAGTCATTTAATCAACTTACATGGAGACATGAGTCCAACACGCAGAGGCTTTCGGAGTATTATTTTACTATATTTTTTGTGAGGTACATACGTTGTCGGCAAAGAGAATAATATAATCACTACGTTTAAGAGGCGGTACTTTATTATAGTCTATGCGCTGTAGCATGGTGCGAACGACAGCTTACGCCTATGAAGTTTCGTATTTTTTTAGATAACTGTCATTGTTGTACTTCGTGGATGGGTACCACCCACTTACGAGAGTGATGCGTCACGCTAAACTATTCCATGCCCGAAGACAGAGAAACCTATAGACAAATTGACGCCTTCTTTCGCATTCGCACACGAAAAAGATAGATTTATGCATACGTCTGGCATAAAAATGAGACAGAGCGGCGTGATTGTTTGTCCCTTTCTACGTGCCGGTTTTTTTGTTTAGCAAACTACACTTTGCTAAACAACTATGACAGTTCGTAGCGATCCAAGTTTACAAGTTGGTTTAAGTGAGAAAAAACGTGTGTTTCTTGAACAATTAAAAACTTTAAAAATGGTTAGATGTAGTGTCTTAGCATGTAAAAGTGATAGCGAACGTAAACTCACCGGTATATCATTTCACTCGTAAGTATAATACATTTTATCTGGCATTACGTATAAAATTCAATTGTTATTTTAAATTTCGTTACAGAATTATATAAATATATGTTTAAATTTTATCTAAATATGTTTAAAAATCATAAAGATTATTGTATAACTTTAAAACCGTAGACACAGAATTTATCTGTCTACGTTATCGTCCTTTCTCACTCGAGGCCACGCTAATCATTAGTCTAAAGGTTTCTCTGTCTACGGCCATATCATAACGAACAACCACAGGCTATCAAGAATCGGTTTTGAAATAAATATATAAAAATCACGTAAATATTTATTTTAACTAATCGTTCAACAAATTCTGATTTACAATTAAAAAATCCACATAGACGAATATGCAGTGTTTCCAATACATGGATGATAAATTATTCGTTGGTCAGCTTAGGCAAAAATAATAATTATAAATGTGTCAAAAATACTTTGCTACAAAAACCTATTTTTGATTTTTATTACATTAGATGTGAAAACCAAATTCTCGATATTTTTTACCTTCCGTCCCGATATTTAGCCCATTGGACTTGACAACACTATATACTATATATAGAGAAAGGCGCTAGTACGTGTACCTTGAAAAGCTACCGGTGCAGTCAACGCCGTATTGAAAATTACAGATGCTGGTAGCCATTTTATTTGTTTAAATGTCATTATGAATGTTGCAATTAACATGAAATACTTATATTTTTATCACTGCTTTAATAACGCAAAGACTCGTGGAGGTTAGAGAACAGGACAACGATCGCTGTAGAAAATAGCGTCCCAGAAATATGGACAAAATAAGAGAGGCGCTGCAATCGCTAAGTTGTCTCAATAAAAGCGGGCTGTTGTGCGCCAATTTGTAATGATTATAATATCATTCAAAGAAAAAAAATGAAATAACGAGATGGTTATTATTTATTATTATTATTTTTAATAAATAAATTATAAATTATGTTTTTTTAAATTTTAATTATTATAAATATTATAAATTATTACAAATATAAATTATTAATTATTATTGATTTATTATAAATATTTAAAATCAATCAATAATTAAAAAATGGCTTCGCGGATACTAGGTACAACTGATTTTTATATATAGAGATAATTGATTTTTTACAATTACAAAAGAAAAAGCAACAAGCTTAGCAAAATTAAAAGCAATCTAAATAATTAAAATAAATATAAATGTAACCGTTTGATTTCACATTTAAACTCATTTGATTTGACAATGTCATTGGCAGACTTATTACAAAGGTAGTAAGTAGATATAGCCGCCATTAAAATTTGCTTCCGTTAAGTACATGTAATTTTTAATATTGAAGTCGCACCAACCTGGTTATAAGCCTCTCTCCGCATACATAGTAAAATATATCCGAGGAAGAACCCTAAACATACATATTCTATTGGCATAAAGTGGAAAGAATGTTAGACTATGAAGTTGGGATGGTCGAAGGGTTTGGGATATAGGGCTATTGAAAAGAATCGCACATGCCCTTATCGTGATGAAAGGTGGCAGCAGGTGGTGACTCGTCACTTACTAAAATAGGTACCGCTCACTGCAATAATAACTGACTGCGATGTGCAACATTGGTATAAACGAATAAGAGTGTAGAAAGGTGAATCTGCAGGCTGAAGATCCTTATACAGTCAGCATCCTCAAGGCGTTATGACAATTTTACATTTTCACCTTTGAAACATAAACACATTAAATCTAGTTCTGGCTGTAAGCTCTAATGCTCCACTATAGACAGCCGACCAAAGCAAGGTCGGCTCACTCTCACACGCATCAACAACACGTCAGCTGTCCTGCGGACCGTATTGATATGTCATATAAGCTAAAAGCAGAATGAACGAGGGTACAAAAAATTCATACAAGCGGACAGAGAAAACAAAGCCATTTACCGACGCGAGCATCGCATTATTTTCTCTGTTGTACTTAGTGTAGGTGGTCCCTACGCTTGGGTGCGTGCGTGGTGAGATGTTTGTATAAAGCTTCCGCACTTGCCTAATCTTGTAATAGTATAATTTTGTATTTTTTTTAGCTTATCTCTCTCTTCGCTGTGAACATCGTAATAGAGCTAGTACTACCTTTTTTTATAGGATAGGGTGACAAACGAGCACACAGTCCACCTGATGGTTAGTGGTTGCTGTGGCCCATAGACATCTACATCTATCCTCGTATGCGATTCTAAATGCAGATGCGTTGTCACCCGTGAGGACTAAGATGGAATGCCTCGTTTTTAGCAAAAAAGGTCTCCGGTTCTCTACACTCACCATACGAAACACAGCAGCATTAAGCTACTATTTCACGTTGGTATTCTGTGAAAGCGTGGTCCTTCCCTGGTCGAGCCGACCCATTCGTGCTACGACTATACTACTAATATAATTGCAGCATGGCTCTACCACGTAGAAAACCTGCCTCTTATTACCTGCTTCTTATTATTTTATAAACGTTACTCAGAGGATAAGCGTTGGCTTTAAAAATTCACAACACCGAGTTCGTTCCTTATCGGCACCAATGAAATTGTTACTTGCAATTTTTAATGTTTATTTACCACGTGCACAGTTAACATAAAATATTACGAAACAGAAATAGAAACTTTTTAATCAACATAGATTATAAATAATACGTATTGAAACCCACTCTTTGTCTAATTACCACTGGTTCAGTAAAACGTCTGTCCTGGGAAGAACGAGCACGAAACCCAGTGGGCCTTTTTTAAACATATTTAAAGTCACTTTTTAACTTACCACTGGTTCGAAAACCTTTGTACTTGGAAAAAGCAGCAAAAAAAACACAGCAGAACTTTTTTTTAAATAACAGCTTACTATCATGCACATATGTGTTACAACTAACAACACGAAACAAATTAGGAATATCTTTGTAGCGATCACCTTTCCTAGGGGTTATTATTGTCCATAAATTCCTTAATATTATAATAACCCTTTATACAAACTTAGTTTCATAAGCTTTTGAACTTTGTGCAGGTCAAATTTTGTATATTTTCTGGAATTTTGTAGTAAAAGCGTATACATCGCCCCAAGAATGAATTACTGACTCTGTGGAGTCCAGTATCTGGTACTACTATAGCTTGTTCCTAGTATTTATAGAATTAATATCACTTAATTTTGTAAAATTACTTTTATTTTTGGTCGTAAGTGTGCTTAATACATTTTCATAAATGTATTAAGCACACTTACGGCCAAACTTACACATCTGAAATATTAAATAAATTTGGGTTATGTGCGATCCGCTTAGTCAACACGTTT